TGATTTAGAGAAAACCACATAAGAACTGCCTTCGACGTGACTGAATTCCTTTGACACAAACTCCCCAAGTCTCTGAGACCTATTTTCCACAGAAATGCTAGTTACGAGTTTCAGTCAGGATTAATTTAGACTTTTTTATTCCTACATGTATCAGAATCATTCATGGAGGGGAAGTTCTTCTATATCCATTCCCAGAATCCTCCGAGGACATCTGGTCTCATTAAAAGATCAAATAGATACTCCAGATTCATTAGTTGTTTAACAAAGTGGGAATTATTTTCTCACTGTACTCATGTTTATGAGATAGATATTCAAGTCACAGGTGATGCAGGTAACAGAGGGTAATGGAGCATCTTTCCTCCTCCCTCAGGAGGACAGCAGGAGAAGGAGGTTAAGTTCATGCTGAGCGTAGGCAGGTTTAAAGCAGGTCTGGTCAGAGAGAGTTATGTCTCATAGCTGTGGCTGACACGTGACCTGGATTCTAGTCCTGTTTTCTCTTTCTGCCCATCTTCTCTGGCAGAAGGAACACACATTGCACATGCCAAGCACAGAACAGAATCAGGTCTGGCCTCTGACTCCAGGGCCTGCATACTTGGCGTTCCCAGGGCCTGAGTGCTTACTGGAGCTTTGAAAGGTACAGAAGCACTAGCGGGTAGAACTACATGAAATGGTTCCCCAGTGGCTGAAAAGAATTATTGAGGCTTTCTAAAGTGACTCATTCCCTCCCCGGGGTCGTCTGGGCACAGGGAAAACCCGTCTTGCTGATTATTCGTGAATTAATGGCAGTGGTGATGGACTTCTGATAACCCAGAGGTCCGCTTTAGCTTTACTGGCAAAGGTCTGTGGTCTGGGAGTCAAAGGTCACTGTGCTGTGTGCATGTGTCAGTTGTCCATCTGTCTCTTTCTATCTCCGTCTTTCCCTCTCTTTCTGCCTCTGTTTCCGTGGTATGCATGTGCGCACGGTGGCGGGTGTGGCTGTGCATGTGTGTGTTTATACTAGGAGGGGATACACAGAAAGTCTACTTCTCTGACCCTGACTCTGAATCTCAGTTCTGCCTTCACTAGGAGCAAACCACATTCTTCCTCCTTTATATGAAGAGTCTAGAGAGACAGTCCAGCAGATAAGGTGTTTGCTCCTGATCGCCCAGAACCCAAGTACAAAGCCGAGTGGGTGAGAGAGCCAGCCTCCATTGCTGTGCAGGAAGAAGAGAGAAAATAGGGGGCGAGCCGCCCAATAGACTAACTGTTTTTGCACTGGGTTCCAGAAAAACCCCGCCTGGATGTAAAATCTGGAGCGGGACGGAAGAAGACATCAGATCACAAACACTGCTGACACACACAAGCACATGTGTACAGGCACTTGCACACAAGTAAACACAAACACACATGCGCACAACCATGGATATATTAAGAGAGGAGAGAGAGAGATGGAGGCAGAGGGGTTGCAGAAGTTTCAGTACCTTCGGCTCTAAAAACCCAGGCAAAATCTCTAGATAGTTAGAACCGAGGATGCACTGTTTTTCCAGAAGTGACAAGTGGCTTCGTGTTACCTTCTCTATTTAGAGGCCGCTGTTTAGGATTAAGGCCAAAGTTGTGCTTTATGTGCGAGTGGAAAGCAAACCTCGCGCCTTCATCTTCCAGTTGCACTTTCTATAACTCACTTCTGTCCTGTTTCTATGTGTTGATTCCAACACCGATGCTTTGAAAACTGCAATTCCCTCTTCACACATACCTCACAGACACGAGGCAAATCAAAACCACCCACTGGCCCTTCTGTTCCCCCAACTAGTAAATAAAATCTGTCATCTCTCCTTTTGACGTGGTAAGAAGTGTAACTTGTCCTGTGAGTGTGATCAAGGGGTCGTTTACAAAATTGCCTTATTATCCTATTATTTTCCAGGAGCTCTCTGTCCCGGCTTGGTAGGGGTGTTAGCAATCTGTCCCCTAAGTGTATCACTTGATGGGCAATTTGCTGTGACATTAACAAGAAAATGACAAATGTTTAAAGGTGACCATTCATCTTCCCAAACGAGACTTAAAAGTCACAACTTTAACAAAAAGGATGAAGACAGACGATAGGCTTCAGGCATGTCTTCTAGCCCATGCCAGGAAGAAGCCTCTTTGAGATGTGGTGACAGGTAGGTGACAGCCAGTGGACAGACCACAAAACCTTCCCTGGAGCAATACAGAGGATCATGTGTCATAAGCTGGTCATGAAATCAATTTAGTTGGTCACGACCAGGATAAAAAACCAAAACAAAACATGATATAAATGAGACTGAAGCAGAATAAAAAATTTCTAGAGCAAGTGTATGAAATGTAGATAGCAGTGAAACTTTGCTTTAGGGGTGTGTGTGTGTGTGTTTGTGTATGTGTGAATGTATGAGTTGTGTTTGGTGTATCATGTTTCAATGTATCTCCTACTGTGGGTCATGCCCTACATTTACCATCGGAACTCAGAGTGTTAAAAACGGTTCAAATTATTGGTGCTTGAGACACAGGCAACACTTTGCAAACTACCTCTCCCTGGAGGTGTCTCATGCTGGTTTCAAAGGACTTGTTCTTGACCGACTTCTACTTTTTGTTCTCTGAAAAATGCTTAGTTGAGTGGGTCCAGGTTTGCTGTCTTCTGGGGAAACTCCCTACCTCTCATAGGTGCCCCCGGTGTTTTATACATTCTTACTTTCCTGTTCCAATTCATTTCCTATGATAGCCTGCCACACACATCAAACAACAGTATAAAGATGTTAATGCCTCATTGCAAACCAAGACACTGACATTTCAGGCACATTTAAGCTCATACCATTGGAAAGAATTTGTGCTCCAGAATTTAGCTGCAAGGAAAGGACATTTGAAAAATGACTATTTTCCCAGCATTCAAAGTCTAACCTGTGTCTAGAGCCATTCACACACTCACACTTCCTAACATTTTCTTCTGTATATATAAATAATCATTATTTCATTGTTGATTTTTAAAACATGCATCTCTTCGGCTCTCTTTCTAAAAGAAATTTGTTGTTTTGTTTTGTTTTGGGACAGGGTCTCATTCTGTAACCCTGGCTAGCCTAAACTCACTGTGGAAACTGGCTGACCTTGAACCCACAGCAAACCACCTGTCTTAACCACAGTTCTGGGACTGCGAGCATAAGCCTCCACAGGTTTGTTCTCTCTCCTTCTCCAAGGAATTATATTCAAAACTATCTATCTTACTAGAAAATTTGGAAAAATATCTTTCTCACATTCAACTTATACATTCATCTTACACAACTAACTGGCTGCTTAGCTATTTTCATATGGTTTCCTGGTGCCAAACTAAGAGAGAGTAATGTAAGACTGAATACAAGATCGTGTTAGGTAAAGGCAGCCTTTCAAACAACTAAAATAACTTAAAGAGAGTCCCCCCTCACTGTGCCTGCAGCTGTCAGACCCATGGTGCTCAATATCATGCATGTAGGTTCCCCGGCTTCCCTTGCAGAATCACCTCACCACCAGCAGTCTCCCACAGCACATGTACCGTTTCACAGACGAGAGAAGTAAGACTTGGCGAAACTGATCCCAGCCTGCGGCAGACACGGCTATAAACCTGGAAGCCATCATTCAACAACAGTCCATCTGACTGTTCCTACTGGGCTTTCCTCAGTTACACATCCCTTCGGCTGCAGCCAAAAACACTTTCCTTTTTAAATACCTTATCTGTCCTCTTAGGGGCACAGATATGAATGTAAAAACACCCCAAAACATTAAGAGGGTTTTGGTTTATCCTTCTAAATAAAGAATGCTCTAGCATAGAGCTGTTTCTCTACATGACTTACTCTGAAAGCACCTGGTCTTCTTATGCTATCACAATGCCCTCTGCACCCTGATCGTCAACCTTCAGCCACCTTTTTGTGTAGGAAACAGTACAGGAGAATAATGAGCAGGATGCATCCTAATTGCATGCTGGTGGCATTTTATTAACCTCTTTAGACCTAGTAAGGTAATTTGTTTCCACACACACCTACTGGTGCTTTAAGACTTCTGTGAAAAACATTACTTTCCTTTTGTGCAGTTTCTGGATTCCCTATCCCTCTGTGTGCACAGCACATTTTAATAAGAAGCGTGCTAGGTTATCAGAAGGCAGATAATTATTGTCACCTCTCCCAACCATGACAGCATAAGCGCAACGTTGACTTTATAGTGAAATAGACTTAGAAATCAAATCCAGGATTTGCTGAAATCAGGAATGGAATGACTGGTTACCAAATGTGGCTTGGTTTTCGCTCAGATTCTAAACTCCTAAATAACTTTCCTGTGTTAATTCAGTCTTAAGTTTCAGGAAATAAAATAATTATGTAGTTAAACATAGATCCTTATGCAAACAAGTGCTGTGTTTACAATGTACCAAACCATTTACTTAAACCACAGACATGAGGGAAACCCAATAGACAAGCACTCCCTATTGGCCCATTCCCCATGTGATAGCAGTCAGCATCCTATTGGAATCGGATCAGAAAATGATGGTCTACCACTCTATTGTCAGGGCAAGCAGATAGTAAGTGCCAACTTGAGGCAGTGGGTTTGTTTGTTTGTTTTGTTTGTTTGTTTGCACTTTCTAGGAGCTGAACAGTTAAATATTGGCTTCCCCCCCACCCTTGAAAAGAAACCTTCAAGATGACATGAATATAATATAGTTTGTGACTTGTTCAATTAAAAAAACTAGCTTAGTACTGTTTGATGTTGCTTTTTTTTTTTGAGTTAAAAAGGATGAAGGCATTCTGCTATATGGAAACAAAACAATACTTAATGTCATGTTAAACATCATCTCCCCATTTGGAGTTTCACAGAGTGAAAGCCCCACCAACTCAAGCTATAACAGCCCTGAAGGAATGGTCAAGCACCGCTCCTGACTTTAAATCATAGAACAAAAGGAAAACCTCTTCTCAACACCACGAACATAAATTAACAGCCAGAAACCTAGTCAGATCTTACTTGTGAGGAGGGCTGCTCAAGATATGGCATACCTTAAGTTCTCTGAAGAAAATACTACTCCTGGCCCATTCGACAATGGAGAAGAGGGTCTGGTCCGCCATTTTGCACATAAGCCCAAATGTGCTCAGCTTTTCCTGCCTTCGGTTAGCCTGCTCTTGCTGTAAGTAAGCCATGATTTTGGCTTGGACTTGAGGCTCATCTGGTTCACACTTCAAAAGTTCCAGTATCAGGTGTGGGATGCTTGCTGGGGAGCTTGTCTGGTAACCATCCATGTAGGGGTAGCCCATCATTGACTCAGGTGAGCTGGTGTAGGGGTCTGGGTACTCAGACTTGATGGCCCGACTAGGAAAGTGACCATATGGTTGGTAACCTTGCAGGCCGCCATGAGGTGGCATTGTCATGCTAATAGGAGATGTGACAAAGGGACTTCTGTCATAGTCTGTGGGAGGCAAGGCAGCATGGTTCAGAGGTAGGCCTTTGGAGGCGGAATGAATGTTCTGAATTGCAGAGGAGATGTTCAGGTCAGAGGGCATTGCTTGGATCACCTGGGACATGGCTTCCAGCTTAAGTCCGTTGGCTCGAATGAGGGCTTTCTTCTGTTGCTTTAGGGCCCTGTCCCTCTTGTACATTGGCCCAAACTTATTTCTGCCTCCTCGCATGCGGTCAGCTCTTACCGCTGTTGGTAGAGGAGAAAGGAAGGGTACATAAGAAGAAAGTCATTAGCATTTGAAAATGTTGATAACTGATGCAGTGTGTGTGTGCATAGCTGTGTGTGTGTATGTTTCCTATGATAGTCCACAGATACTCCAGGGGAAAAAAAGTCTTCTTCATGAATTCTTTCCTTCAACTGGGTTTTGTGGAATAAAGAAGTTTTAGCCAGGCATAGTGGCCCACTCCTATGAGACTATACTCCCTTCACTCGGGGAGGCAGAGGTAGGTAGATCTCTGGGAGTTCAGCCAGCCTGGTCTACAAAGTGAGTCCAGGACAGCCAGAGCTTCAAAGAAACCCAGTCTCAAAAAAAGTTTCACAACAGATATTTAATAGTGGGGAGGGTAGGATTATTCTTTCTGGGTGTGCCAGTTTCCAGCATATAAGCCATGTCATGATTTCTCATGGAAAGCAAAACTGTATACCTGCTGTGTATGTACATGTATGTGCCTGCAAAATTTTTTTTCTTCCTTGCTTCCTTTCTCTTTATTTTTAAAGAAAGAGAGGATCAACTCACTCCTGGATTAAACCCTTTTTCTCCTACCATCTTCCTCATTCCTAGTTCTCCCAGGCTACTTTGTCACAGGTCTGAGCTCTTCATGAAAAGCCCCTGTCACCTAGACTTCATGAATACACCTTGGAAAGCCAGGTTGGCTTTGAATTTAAGTGGGATTGGATGGAAGTTTTAATTGGACATAATTAAAGTCCTTTCCAAAGTTGTCCAGAGGCTCTTCTGTACGCCAGTGGTGTGGAACAGGGGCCATGCCTGAGGAGTTGGTCAGCAATGCTCTCCCCGTCCACCCACAGTGGCCAATGGTCAGCCTCTGGCTGCCTGAGACACATTGAACTTGCTGAAGGAAAAGTAAGTTTTGAGCTTTTTAATCTTAGGATTAGTATTCACATTAAAATCTTATTGTGAATTCTAAGTATCCAGAATTTCACACTGGATCATAAAAGTTTTTAATTTAGATAATTTTATCAAGTATTTTATTGTCCCATGACCATTGTTTAAGTATGAGTATAGTGATAAGCAAGTTACACAATTAGCACAGCATAATATTTAAGTTAAAAGTGTACAAGCTCTTTTCTTTCATCTAAAGACTAAGTGGTATCAAATGGAATCGCATCATTTAAGTGTCAGCATTCTGTCTTCTGATCTGGCCTCGTAGTTCGCATCTGCCACTATAACAACCAAAGGGATCAATGATAAAATAAACATCAGTTACTTTCCTTCTCAATCTCCTCCAGGAAGCAGTCCTTATGCTAACCAAAGCAGCCACCTCTATTTGAACAAACTTGCTAGCAATTTGGCAGTTTTATTCAAAGAGCACAATTCTTTACATTTCCCCCACACACACACAATTCTCCTAAGTTCCATATAACAGAAAACCTCCACATAAAAAGTAGCTGGTGTTTCCTTGATCAAATGAAGCGCACTCCAGCGAGGTGCTGGGTACCCTGCCATATTACAGTCTGTTTAATCTGTGGGAAGGCCGGAAGGTCAAAGGCTGGAAAATAGCAGCACGCCATAACAGTGATGAAGCACAAATTATTTACAGCAGTCACACATTAACTCCACTAGCTGCCAAGCTGAACCCATAACACTCTTCCAGCACCTCAGTGTGACTTTTGAAGGACCATTCTCTCAGGCTCAAACCATTGCTACTGGTTTGAGTCCACTGCTTTGCATGCTTTCTGCTTCCCAGTTGTTGAATTTTATATATTCAGCCATTACTTTTCTCTTTAAGAAAAAAAAAAAGAGTATACTTTTATGCCATTAACAACTGAAATTCTGTATAAAAAAATCCTTTTCACAATGAAAAACTAACTTTTCTCAAGAACCATAAAATGAACATGTAAAAAGAACTATGGCAAGTACACCAATTAAAAAAAAAATCTAGGGCATCTTGATTTAAAAAATTAAGGGTTATTTCATTTTATTTTTCATACTTTTACAAATTGATTTTATTTGATCTCAGTAGAGTTGCTTTAGTCTTGCTATCTTTTCAATATTAAAAGTATCAACTTCAAACTAAAAAAATGGGAGAGGGACAATTTTCTCACTTTTTTCTTCCCCAGTAGATGTTACTATCTATTTACTACAGGCTATTCTATAGAAAAAAACGTTAAAAAATATTTTCCATCATTGTCAGTAATGTTGAGAGCCTAGAAAAAGAATGTTCTTAGACTACATTCACAAGTGTTTTTTAAACTCCAGGTCCCAGGGGCCTTAACTGACAGTCTCTTACCTTCTAGCTTCATTCCAACACTTAGACATTTCTGGAATCGACAGTAGGGACATCGTTTTCTCTGTGTTTTGTCAATTTGGCAGTTCTGGTTTTCTATACATGTGTACCTTTTATTGTTTTGGACTGTTCGCTTAAAAAAACCCTACAAGACAGAGAAAATCGTGAGACATGAGTCTAGGCCACTTTCTTCTATTGTTTTACTCTAAGGAAATCACCAACAAGTCCTTTCATTGTGCCATGGAGCCCTTATGTGGTCCTGTGGTTCATTTTACATTTCGGCAAGACCAAACCTCCACAGCAGTGCCAGGCCTCAGTGAAGATTTTTCTGGCCTCAGAGTTATATTCCTGGAGAATTACATCAATTTTGTACCATTTCATTCCAACAATCAGGAAAAAAAAAAAACAAAAAAAAAAAAAACAAAAAAAAAAAAAAAAAAAAAAAAAAAAAAAAAAAAAAAAAAAAAAAAAAAAAAAACCAACTCTATATTGACCAATGATTTTTTTTAAAAAATCTGGTTTCCTACTAACATTCATGCCGAGGTAACTTTTAGGACCCTGCATTGTTTTTAGGTAGTCTCATGCAATTCCAATCACCAACCATTGTAAAACAAATGCCAGTGTTCGAACTGAATAGCAAAATACCTCAGATCTTTTACAAATGTCAACACTCAGACAGTTAAAAGGAAAAGGACTTCAAGAGCAAAATGGGGAAATGCTCCTAATGCCATTGGAACCCATTCAAGGGTGGGAACTGTGTTTTAAAAGTCCAACTAATGGAAAAGACACACACACACACACACACACACACACACACACACACACACACACACGGGCATGTGTACTAGCCATGTAGCTGAATTGTAGCAAAGCTTGTGCCTGCTTACACTCCAGGGGACTGATCAGAAATAGTGTGTGGCTTTCGAGTGAGTAACACCTCTACTCTCTACTGCATGAGCACTCTTGCTTATCTGCCTGACCACAAGCAGAAACCATCTTATTTTGTTGTGGAAAAGAAAGGGAGGTTTCCCAGCAATGGTTCAAATAAATGCACTGAGTTTTCTACTTTAAAGAATATGTTGGGGAGAAAAATAGAGAAAATTGAATTTATGGGGATTACTAAAAAAACAACTGACACAAATCCTTATGGTCTTGGCAAGATTAGTAACAATAAAAGACATTGAACATACTCAAATTCCCTGCATTTAAATAAGTCATATGATATACTTATGAAAATTGTTAAATTAGAAACTAATATCTGGTTTCTTGGTACCTTGATATAAATTCCAAAACAAAACAAAAAAAATCTTTAAATTATTTTTGGAATGCATCAGGATGAAATCATACAGTTGGGAATTCAGACCTTCATGTCTTCTAAATGAAAGAAAGAAAGAAAGAAAGAAAGAAAGAAAGAAAGAAAGAAAGAAAGAAAAGGTCCAACTTGCAGCCTAGATTATTCTCACGTTAAGATATACTTAGGATATACTTTGTCATGTTTCCTTTCAAGAAGGATGCTTCAAATATATAGAAATCAAGCAAAATCAATATTTCGGACTGTTAGCAATGAAGTGCCTATAGATAGATACCTCACTGCACCACAATCAACTATTTTAAAGCCACAAGACTAACGCTTCCTAAAGGACATAGTTATCATTGCCTGGGAACTAAATTAGACATATTTTAAGTTCTACTCTATAACACCTTTCCCCCTCATTTTTCAGCTGAAAAGAGAGAACAGCAAAAAGCTTAAATTTAGCTCTGAAGGATAATTCAACGGTCTGGCTTTGGTCAGAACATTCTTTTAGGGAACACTGAAAAAGCAAACCTTGCAACTTTCACAGGTGAGGAGACCATAGTGATATCCAGATACTTTATCGCCACACACAGGACATAGTTCTTCAAGATCTTCATCATAGGAGTAATTCACCATTTTAAATTGAGACACTGAAACAAAAAGAGAAACATGCACAGGTGCCCTATTAATTCTCAATATAGATCTTAATGCTGCAAGAAAAAGTACCTTTTTTATTTTTTGGTGGTTGATGGCCAAATATCAGGTCAAATGTAAAATTATGTAGACCAACTGGTTTCAAAGAGAGCTGCTTTTACACAAGGAAAGGAAACCATCTTTGGGCATCAGTAAACATATGCTTCATTATTTTTTAATTTAAAAATAATCCTAACTTTTTGGTTAACATTTTAAACTGACCACTGATGAACAAAAGCCAATAGATCAGAATGGAAACATGAACCATATAAAAGTAACAACCTGAAATCCCTTCTTAAGCCTCTAATGTTCCAAAATGTCACCTTTGGCTAGTGGGACAGGCAGGCTGTCCATGACTGACGTGGCTGGCTTCCTAAGTCCACGCCACTTTGCTAGGCTAGCAACGCTAATGCGCACATGCTACTTGGGAGCACGGAAGCCGCAGAAACCTGCTTCTTAGAAGCAGCTCTAACAGCCTATGGCTCCCAGGGTTCAAGTCTGTTAGAGTAATCAAAACATTCAGTTCCGCATTGACGGTAGTCCTGTTCTGGCCACTTTCATCTCCTCACGTTTGCGAATGTCCTGTGAAAATAAAAACAAGGAAGAGGAGAGGACACCCGGAAGGGGGAACAGAAACAGAGAGGAAAAGAAATGCACGGGAGCTTAACCAAGTTCTAGGGCTTTGTAAGGAACTTCACAAGCTTCCGATAAGCACTGCGAAGTATAAGCAGCTCCGGGATCGCCTCGGAATCAGACCACGGTGTCCTGGCTCACACAGGGACCGCTGTGACTAGGGACACTAACCCGCAAAAGCACCAGTCTTTGCAGCCAAAAAGATAAAATGCGCACGTGTAAGTCAGTGGCCAGAAGACTCCAAGATGAAGTCTATCTATCCAAGACTATCGGATGAAGCTGAAAACCCCCTTCGGCCGAGCCCCCACCCCTACTCCCAAGCCGCGCAGAGCAGGGGCGAGCAGCGCCCAGGCTAGGGGCAGGTCTGCACCGCGGCCGCTGCCGGGGCTCCCTGTACCCTCTTGGAACCCTCCGTCCACTCAGCTCGAGGCCCTTGCTCAACCCTCTGCTACCCAAAGGCGCACAAACTCCACAGAGAGTTTGCTTTAAGTTAATCAGTGGCATTGCAAGGGGTGGGGCGGGGGAGGGGTACCCACAGCCTGGCAGAGATTTCTTCAGATGTTTGCTAAAAGGGAAATGGAGAAATAGCCCCTACCCCGCAGCCAAAGCGTTGCGCTTCTTTATCAGCCGGTGATAGTCTTATTAATTTCAAATGAAGTTCGTGTCCTGAGTCTCGATGGAGTTTCTGCTCCCAGACACAGAGCCATGGGCTGTAACAGCTTAAGCAGCTCCAGAGAGTGAGCAACAGTTTGCTGCAAAGATCTTGGGAAGAGGAGCCAGCAAAGGCATTCCCCGGGCTCGGGAACTTAGAAAAAGGGATGCTGAGCGCGCCTCTCTCCAGCGACTCTTACAGAGGCTGCGGTACTCTAGGGAATTAGTTCCGGAGGTTTCGGGAAAGCTTTGGGTTGGGGAAGCTTGTTTGTGGAGCTCTGAAAACTTCTGTCTCCAGGTATGTTTCTGAGCTGAGCGGGGACTGTCCTTTCATACTCGTGTGTTCTTCTCTGTCTCCCAACAAAGTATCCTCTAAGTTCACTTTTAATAGTACCATGGGACTGGCAGCCACCTACACTCTCCGTGCCCATCTCAGAGACGCCACATGGAAGAAACGGAGGCCCATCCTCCGGCAAAACCCAGTGTCTGGGCGGGGGGGGGGGGGGGGGGGGGGGGCCCTTTAGGGGAACGGGGGCTTTTTTTTTTTTTTTTTTTTTTTTTTGGTTACCCATGGGCCTCTGAGTTAAGACTTCGGAGGAACAAATCCACCAGAGAAGAAATCCCCTTGTGCCTGGAAAAGGCTAGAGAACAAGCGTGTCTTGGAAAGCTAGGACCTCAGACAACTTCTCTAAAGCTGAATGCTCCACGTTGCCGCTGCCAGGGACTTCAGTAACGAATTTCCTCTGGGTTCCGGCACCCCTCATAGTATGAATGTATCCCTCGTGAGGGACCTTTCGGGTGGCGCTCACAGCCCAGGTGGCGAACCACCAAAGCCGCCCCAGGCTTTCCTATGCTGATTTCGAACCCATGGATCTGCTAGCCCCCTAACACAAAGGCGAGCTGATGATTACGTGTTGGCTTGGAGGCAGGGGGCCAAGAAGAACCCTTTCAGATTTACAAAGAAACCAGGTTATTCTCTCTCCAGTCCTCACTAAGCCGTGTTTCCAACCACTGGAAGCTTTTCCCGGGTTCGGACACCCCAAATGTCTATAGGGAGCAGGAAGTAGCAAATACCCGTCCTCCTGCCAGGAGGAAACAGCGGAGCTGGAGGCCGGAGCGCAGGAAGCAGGCGGGGACTTCTCAGGAATCCCAGGTGCCCCTCTTAGGGCCAACGGGGCTTCCTCAGCACACACAAACACACACACACACACACACACACACACACACACACACACACTTAATGTGAAGACTTCGCCCGGGAACTTCTACAGCCCTACCAGAGAACTCGGAGGGACCCCAAGATCACCCCGGATATCCGAGCCCACCCGCAGGCCTGCGCCCCCTTTCCCCGGGCGACCTCAGGTCTTCCTGGCCAGAGCGCACCGGGCGCCGCAAAGTGCTAGAGCTCAGCTCTCCACACTTGTCTGACCCTTTCAAGTTCTCGCAAAAGGCCAGCAGGAAGCCTCGGGGATCACAAGCCGGCTGCACCGCACATCCTGAGCTCTCGCAGGGGCGAAGATGGAAGAACTTTTCCTAGCATTGTTCCCACCCTGGTCCGTAGTTGAGATAAAGTTCTGAAGAGTTTAGAGCGAGGAAAACGAAGCAGATGGGGCTTTTTCTTTTTCTGATGTTATCAGTCAAGAACAGGGACCCAAATGGGATATCCATACTGAGACCCGAAAGAGCAATGGGCTACCCGTGAGCACCTTGACCCCTCATTGGGCACTTTCCTGGCTAGGAACAGAGTTGGAGTAATTGGTTCTTTTAAGTTATGCCAGCGGTTTTGGAGTCTCCCTAAAGGCTGCCGGTCCGGCTAGGCATTTTTTTTAGGTGCTCATAGGATTCTAACACCGCTAACAACGCCAATCGCCTTCCTCTGACATTCTCTTGTCTACACTTGGCTTTCCTAGTCAGTCTCTTCCCTCCACACGGGAGCATTAAAGTGCGAGACAGTTCGAACAACCTAGAACCGGGTGACCAGAGAGTAATTCCACTCCTCAGAAAGATTATTCCGCGGTGCCCTTCGTCTCAGGCTGCCCCAGCTCTAGTTGGCTCTGAGCTCCAAGTCGCTCTATTTAATTAGAAGCGTCCAATTAGACATTGATGAGAAAGCACCGTCCGCCTAGTTCAAGTGCCATTAACTTTTATGCTTACGCCAAGGGAGGAGGCCAAGACCCGCGCACGGCTCGGCAGCCTGTCGCGGGCTGCTCCTGTGTCCGCACCGAAGGAGGCTGAAGCCCGCAAGGCTAGCCTGGCGTAGAAGCCGGGAGCCGGGGCGCCGCCGCAGCGCACCGCCTTACCTTGCATGTTTCCCGGCATCTGCCCCTGTTCCCCATGCGATCGGGCCAGTCCCGGGGCTTCCGTCTCCACTTTGGGCAGCATGACAAGGCGGCTGCGGGCGGGAATGGGGGGTCGGTGTCGGTCCGGAAGCCCAGCACCTGGACACGGGCAGCACAGATTCAACTCCGGCGGAAAGAGAGAAGGGGTGATCAGCGTGCCCGCTCGCCCACCCGCTCGCTGGAGCTGCCGGGCAGGACCTCAGCGCCCGGTCCGCCCAGGCAGCTTCAGAGCTGGAGAGCCGGGCTACCAAGCCAGGCTAAGAAAACGGCGTCCTGCTGCCTGGGTTCCGCTCCGCGAGGGCGGAGGCGGCGGCAGCCAGCGCGCCGCTGCCCCGGACAGCGAGCTGTGCGCGCCGCGCTCCGGAGGCCAGCAGAGGCGGCCGCCAGCTGCCACTGCTGCAGCGGCCGAGCGGCTCCCGGGCTCCTTCCCCTCCCCGCACCCGCCCTCCGGCTCCGGATCGGCAGGGGTCTCTCTCTCTCTCTCTCTCTTTCTCTCTCTCCTCACTTCTCTCCCCCTCCTTTACTGTCCTCTCATCTCCTCTCCGCCCCTTCCCCCCTATCTCTTCTTCAGCTCCTTCCCTCCTACTATCACAAGTGTGGAGTTCTGAAGTTCCAACCTCCCACTTCTCTCGGGTGGAGAGCAATCCTTTCCAGCCCCGAGGGTGACAGTGCCGGGAGGAGAGGGAAGACCAGCTGGAGAGGGGAGGTAAGGGGGAACGCGGGGCTGAGGTGAGGGGGAGCAAGAGGTGAAGACTGTGAATGGGAACGCAGGTTCTGGACTCAAGTCGGACACTAGCCATTAGCCAATGAGGAAGCTCTGACCTCTGTGCCTGCCCCAACCTCTTCACCCCGCCTTAATCTACCCCACCCAGCCCGGGCCTGGGGCGGGAGGGGTGAGTGGAAACTGTAAATGCTACTAGATTTTGCAGCTATTGAGAAGCGACCTGTGTCAGAGCGAAGCCACCAAGGATCTGAGGGCTGAGAGGCCATTTCAAAGAGCTGAGAGGAGGCAAGGAGAAGGGCTGGAGAGTGTGGGTGTACGTGCTCCTAGCGTGAGTGTGGGGAGGAGGAGACCTGAGTGGAGTTAAGTGACCCCTGGAAAACACCTAGAAGAGAAAAAGGATGTTGAATTCACGAAGAATGGACGGCTGGTCCCGCTGCCAAGGCCCTCCATGCACGCAGACATCAGAGAAGCACAGCGTGAGTGGCTGCCCCCTAAAGAACCCGAGACCCAAGGCTCACTTTGGGGACAACTTAAGTCAAGTCGCCGAGGTTTCTCTCCCTTGCATGGGATTTGAGTAAATGACAGCCCCTCCTGCTTTCCCTCTCTGCTCCTCAGCTCCCCGCTTTTGGAGAACACTTGAATCCAAGCAAGATCAGCCCCTGTTTCTTTAACATTCTAGAATCCCTTTGGCTGGGTGGATCCATGAGGCCCCCAGGGCTCAGATTTTTTTTTTTTTTTTTTTAAGTTTTAAAGAACCATCTGTTATGCAAGCTCTTAGGCCACTAGCCAGGCTACATCTTCAAAGTTTTCAGACCTCACCCCAACAAGATGAAAAACATCCTTCCCAGCCCCCTGAATGCATGCAAAAAGCTTCATACCCAGAGTCGGCTGTACAACTGGGCAATTATTGGAGTCCACCCACAAGGGGGTGGATTTGAATCTCAAAAGATCTGAATTTATTCTATTTAAATGGCATAGTGATCACATAAACTGCCCCGTCTAGTATTTAATGAATATAAATTTACTCCAAATCATTACTCACACTATGTGAACTGGGCTAGCCCCTGATGGCTAGCAAACCAAATACACTGACTTTATCTACACTGATTCATCTTCTTGCTTAAAAAAACCTATATACCCAGAATCTAAGTTATTTAATTTCCAGTTTTCACAGCATCTTCGGGGTTCTTAGAAAACTAAAGTGGCCTATGCAAGTAAGTCCCTTCTGGCCACAGGAACTGAGGGGCCTGCCAATTAGTTTGTATGGGGGAGTGGGCTGAATTTGCCTATATTAGTGACCATTAGGCTCAAGTTTTCACGCTAGTATCAAGTAACAATGTCAATACATTTTCAGTATTGCGGGTCATTTAAGACATCACTTTGAATTACAAATACATTTCTTACATAGCTCAGAAAGGGAGCAAAGACTGCAGGCTCAAATCATGACTCACTGCCTGCTTTACTTAGGAGTTCAGGCAAACTTGAGCAATCAGTTCATTTCAAAGCTCTAAGAACAGCCCCCACTCACTACAATTCTAAGAGCTTTTGTTCATCTTCTTCCTAACCCACCAGCCAAGAAAGGATGCAGGACTCCAGCCTTTTGGTCTGCATCTTTGTAGGGCGAGAAGTAGCTCCCAGAGTTCAAAGGCTTTGTGACTTACTGGCAAGAAACCTGGCCAGAACCAGAGGCTGATGCTGTCCCAGTGAGCTGACCTTCGCGGTCCTGCTCTGCAGCACCAGCTTCTGGCCAGAAAGGGCTTCCTTAGGTCAAGTCCAGCCCAATCTGCGACCCAGCTCATCTTCCAAAGACCAGAGTGATGGATGCCAAAGGTCAAGCAGGGCTTCCACAGGCAGACTTTCTAAGAAAAGCTGCACAAAGGAGGAGGGTTGGGGAGACGGGGACTAGGTAGGTGTTTAGGACAAGGTTTGAAAGAATCCAGCCTGGCTCTAAGGATCTAGTCTTAGACAGAGCCTCTGTCTAGCAGCCAACTGAAAGGGTCCCAAAGGATAGAGAGCTGATCAGCAGAGAAACTGTCTCCTTGCCAAGCCTTCCACCTTTAGCCTCAACACTGGGGAGGCAGAGACAGAGAACGGCTATGTGTTCAGACTCTAGCACAGTTTGTATATGGTCTCTGTAGTTAGTACAGTCAGCCAGTACTATATAATGAGACCTTGAGACAGACAGACAGACACAGACACACACACACACACACACACACACACACACACACACACCGATTCTCAGCAGGCTTTTCCTAGAACTAAGAGAACTCTGTCGTCCACCTCCAGGGTGGAACATGATTCCTAGAATCAGCCTTACTTCAGATTTCCAGGGTCTTGAAAACACCCAGGCGGTTTTCAGGGCGGGAAATCTACGGGAGCTGGGTTTTGTTGGAAAGGGCACTCACGCTTTCCTGGGGAGTTGTTCCTCTAGTTTCAGGGAGTGGTGAATCTTGGATCCCGGTGCAGACGTGAGGGAGGGTTGAGGGAAGCAAGCTTCCAAGCTCATTCTGAGCCTTCAGGGCGTACCCTTCCAGTGCCCTCTAGGCTACCCAACGCCCACCCGTGGCCATTCACCCTCTAATTCCGTTGGGTAGAGGACCTCACTGAAGCAAGGGACCAGTTTGTTCTGTGACCTTGTTTGCATCGAGGTGTCTCCTATAATGTTCTCTACCCAGAGTTGTGCGAGAAGGAGGCGGAGCTCAGGGTGTCCACTTTCCACAACCTTGAATGGTTCTAGGTTCCTTTGGCCTCACCTGAGGCTTGAGAGACTAAATGGCTGGGGGAGATGAGAAAGTTGGGGTGGGAGGGGTGCCACAAGACCTGTGATCTAAACGTCAAAGCCAGCAAAGGTCAGTTGGACCCCAGAATGCATCAACTACTAGTTGGGACGCACAGTCCAGCCTCCGCGCGAACGATCTTTTATCAAGTGCCGCTCTGCCTCTTTATGAAGCACAAGCAGGAATTCACCCCTGTCTTACCTCTGGCGGAGATTTTAAAACAAGTTCCCCTTAGCTACCGTGAGCATTCCAAATTTCTCTGGCACTCGCCAGCCAACTTCTAGCAAACTTCTCCCTCCTCACCCCTCCCCCGCGCCTCCTCCTTTCCAGCTAGGGTAGTCTCCCGGGCTCGCCCTTCCCGGCTTTGACTTTGTCTTCAAGTGTTGATTGACGGTTGCAATTACAAAGGATGATAGCTCGGGGAGGCTCCCGCAGCCTTGATGAGCCCGCGAAGCGCAGGCCTGGCATATTTTATCCAGCCTCGGCGTTCCGGGGCCGTGCGCGGCCCGTTCACCCAGCTGGCTGGAGCTGAGGAGGTCTCGCACTCCCCACCCTTGAGGATGCAACCGCGGGTTCTCCCTTCCCGAGGCTGCACGCAGCTCGGCGGAGCGCGCGCGGAGATCACGCCTGCCCTTGACCCGACCTAAGAAGGACCGGTCCGCCCTGTGCCTGTAACCCACTCCAGGCAGCAGCTGAAAAAAAACCAGTCAAGATTTTCAGGACCGATTCGTTTCCCGAGCGAAAGAAGCTTGCCGGCGCACCTGGGAAGAGGAAGCTTAGAGACCCGCCCAACTTAGCAGCGAACTTACAAAACTATCCTGGTAAACAAAAGTCCAACGCTTCCTCCTCCGTTCCCACCTTTTTCCTTCTTCTTCCTTCCATTAGCGGCGTTTAAAAAAGAAACAAGGAAAGTTACCTTTCTGGTCCTGGGTACCATCTACTTCTCAGGCCCGGGAAGAATCCTAGATTATTTATTTATTTTTTATGTCTTCTCCACCTGACCGCGACGTCCGAAGAAAAAGAGAAGCGAATTTATCAGCTCCTGAAGCTCGAACTTCCTTGTTTTTCCTGCTTCTCCCACTTGAGAAGCCCACCAGAAACTGCAGAAATCAGTTGACCGAATGCTGCACTCTGTCTGCCGGGCTCGGGGGCTGAGCTCCGGACCCTCGGCCGCAGGCTCTCCGCCCTCACCCGCAGCGCTTTATTTTAAAAAGAACTGAGTCGGGTTTCAGCTCAGCTGAACGCAAAACCTAGGCGCATCTTACAGATGAAGCTTTGCAAAACACAACACAAACTTGTACGGATTCTTCTTTTGTTTAAAAAACATGTTTAAAACTCCTTTTGTGTTGCCTGTGTCAAATAAGCACGCTTTTGGGAGGTGGGGGCAGGCGGCCAGTCCCGGACTTTTGGCCAGCTCGCTATTAACAATCGCCTTAAGGAGTGTCCTAATAAATACCCCACCCAGGGTAATCCCTACTTCCTCATCTCCGCCCCAGACGCCCTCCCCACCTCGTTCTGAAAGAAAGGAGGGATCCTTGGAGTTTGGGGAATTTAAGGCTCTTTATGCTTAAAATGACAGCACCGGGAACTTCCTTCAACCCAGAGGCCAAAGGCACCCAGCCCTGGACGCCCTGGCCCTTCGAAGAAGATCTAATCTTCAGAGCTTCAGGCCGGGAAAATGACCTGGGCTCAGTGGAGCAGACCAAGCACCACTTGGTGTTGGAGGACAGCGCGGGAGCCAGCCGGCCAAAGAGGCCCTTGCTGAAACAAACTCCACTTCTCTCCTCAGAAACTCACCCTGCCTCAAGCTGCTCTGGAAACTGCCCTTTAGGACGCGGTGCTAAGCTTCCATTCATCTGTATCCGACTTGAGTGGGGGGGGGGGGGTTCTTGAGCTAGGAAGAGACCTCTTATGTGGGTTTTTAGATTTTGCTGCTATGATCTGAGAAAGAACCTTTCTCAGAAGAGACCCTACTTTGAGACTACCTGACTCTTCAGGTGAAGCTGCAATTGGCTCATAGGCTAGGCAGGGAGACACACCTGTGAAGCAATTTGAGCCCTTTTTTTGTCTATGAAAAGGCAATGTGGAAAACCTAGGCTTATGGCTTAGAGGAGGCACCCAACCAGAGAAGGATAGTTTTAGAGGTGGGATGTTTACAAAGGCATCACAGTTCAGGGGGCTGGAGAGACAGCCCAGCAGATAGGAACACCTGCTGCTCTTCCAGAATACCCAGGTTTGATTCCCAGCACCCACACGGAAACTCAAAACCGCTTGTAACTAACTCTACTCCCAAGGATCTACTCCCTCTTTTGGCACCAGGGACACACATAGAGGCAAAAACTCATATATAAATAAAAAATTTAAAGGCTGCACAATTCAAAGGGCATCAATGTGTCCTCTACCCAAACAGCAATTTTTGTAACCAAGAGAGGATGGGATAGACTTGAGGGTGCAGCTTAGGTAACACATGACATTTCCGTCATGTGCAATACCCAGCATGGAAAAAGGACTGGGGCCAGGTGTTGGGGTAGTAGGGACCAGATATTGGGGATGATACGGGCCAGGTGTGACGAACCAGTAATCCCAGTATTAGGAGGCTAAAGAATAAGGATTGCCTCAAGTTTGAGGCTGGTGTTCACTACAAACTGAGAACTTATCTCAAAACCCAGAGAGAGATAGGTCTAGAAAGAACAAACAAGACTGGAGACAAAATCAGTAATACCAGCTGGGCGTGGTGGCGCACACCTCTGATCCCAGCACGGGGGGGGGGGGGGGGGGAGGCAGAGGCAGGCAGATCTCTGACTTTCAGGGCAGACTGGTCTACAAATCCAGTCCAGAACAGCCAGGTCTACAGAGAGAAACCCTGTCTTAAAAAAACAAAACAACAACAACAATAAAAAATCAATGTCTTTCCCAGAGTTTCTTGTCTAGAACCTGAAAGGTTTAAAAACTGATAGAGGGTTCTGTGTGATCTTAAAAAGTTCCTTTGTGGAGATGATCTTAAGCTGGGAGGGAATAAAGAACACTGTTTAGATCCTGAGCAAGAAATCCAGCTCTTACACTGACAAGCATTTCTCTCCACAGGAAGGACAACTGGATTTGTCAAAGTTGTTTAAAAACAAAATGGCTTAACTGGTGCTTTCCCTACCGACTCCCTCCACAGGCCAACAACATGGATCCCTTTTTCTTAACCCAGTCACCCACGTGGCATCCCCACCTTCCCATGCTTACTCCACTGTGGGTGCTATGACCGTGCTTGGCTCCTTTTGCATCACAGCAGCCCAGTGCATTGCCACAGTACACCATACAATAACCCTAGGCCTGGACCACCAACAGTTTCTTCTCTTCTCCCTTACCTCCACCTTTACCTCCCTAGACATTATTGCCAATCTCGTCTTCATTTCACCCTTTTGAATTCTATAGGGATCCAAATCTGGTTTCTGTTACAGAATGCAAAGGAATATAAAGAGCCAATTACAAGCATCTTTGGGGAAAGCCTATTCGACTTTAAGTTATAATCCGAGAGCTGGACACAGTGGTGCCTACCTGTAACCCCAGCACTCTGGGAGGCAGAGGCAGGTGGATCTCTGTGGGTTCAAGGCCAGCCTGGTCTACAAAGTGAGTTCCAGGATGGCCAAGGCTACACAGAGAACCCCTGTTTTGACAACAAGAAAAAGTTATTATCCCCAAATACAAGGAAGAAAGGGAGAGGGGGAGCAGAGCTGAGGTTCTATTTACAGTTCACCCTGCCTGACATTAGTGAGCTTTTCTAAAGCAACCCAGCTTTCTGATTCTACAATTTAGTTAGAAAATGGGCTTTACAAAGTAAAACTTACAGGTGAATGAGAAAAATCGCGCCATGCTGTTGATAAATGAGCATTTTGTTTTGGCTGTCTTTCCCTTGACTTCCCCAAAGCTTGTCTTTCCTTAGGGAGTTGACATAGAGAGCGAATCGCCATCTAGGCAGTGAGCACAGACCCTTCGGGGGCAGTGCCAGCCAGCTTATCCATCTTGCGGGGCTTGACACCATCCTTATCCATCATCTTCCTACACAGAACTGCTACCCAGACTGCTGAAGTTATCTGCACTTTAAACATTAGGTATCGTTGCTTATCAATCAAAACATAACCAAAAAAAGTATCATGGATCAGTTTGTCTGGTGAATTTCAGATCATCTGGATTTCCCAGGCACAGCCTCTCAAGCTGATGCTGCTCATAACGTCAAAGGAAAGTGTCTCCCAACTTCTGAATTCCCTTGAAGCCAAATGAATCTCTCAGAGTTTTCTTTCCAATAGGGTGAGGGCCAGGCAGAGAAGTTGGTCCTCCTGGGCTGGAGGCTAGGGTTATGGAGAAAAGGTGGCTGTTGTTTTAAGAATCTCCTCCTGAGGCTTTCTCTAGCTCAACTCGAGTTTAAGACTGAATTCAGATATCCTCAGCCAATGGGCAAGGTAGAGAGCAGAAACAAAGCATGACCAAGCCTGGATTTGTTTATCCTTGAATCTTTTCTTGCTTTCCATTTTTGTGTTTCAAGTCTCAAAGACTTAGAACAACTAAGGTGGGCTTGCTGTTGGAAACCTCAGCTAGACTGTCTGGGAGGCTGCCTGTACCTTGCCATCTCAAAACCTTCCAGGTATTGGCTTTGCAGCTGCGCGCGTGGGGTGTGTGAAGGTAGGATGGGGGTGGGGATTCATCTCAGTGGGCTTGTCCTGTTTGCCCTGTGCAGTCAACAAGATTTATTAAGGAGGTCAACTCTCCTTCAGCAATGGCCTCTTCAAGTTTCTGGTCTCAAGATGCCTCACCGGCCTGCCTTCCTGGTCCTGCCAAGCCTCCCAGAGCGATCCTTGGTAAATAGATGGGAAACTGGATGCCTGTAGCTGCTTTTCAATCGCTGAGATGTGGCCATGGGAACAGCCCCCAAGCCACCTAGAAGGCTGTAAAACCAGGGGAAATATACCTAGATGGCTGTCGTGAAGATGCAGGAAAAAAGCTCTCCTCCCCCACCCTATCTCCTTTTCCTCCCTTCGGGAATTTTCCACACTTCGAAGGGTCTG